GTAAAAAACAAGAGGATAGGCTTAATTCTATCCAAAGATTCATCTGGTGTCAATATTCTGGAGGGAAAGGAAGCTGGCACATATTTCACAGGGACACTACACCAAGGTTTCTCTGTGGGTTGCCTGCTTAGTACACATTGCTTTCTTTGTACTCTGAAAAGAAGTCTTCTTTCCTCACCAGGTAGGCTCCTAATCAAATGATGCTGATTTTAATCTAGCTCGAAAATCTGCACAGAAGCCATAGCTCTCTGGTCACCTCACTTTCTCTTCCTTCCATGGAGTCCTCATAAATATCAAAGAGAACTGAACAGATCACCTGGGCAGAAGGGGGGCAGGTGAGAAGCAGACGGGAAAGGACATACTGACACTGTCTTCAGGTGAACGGATTCTAGCTCATTCACTTTCCTCTTTGCTTTCTCCTGGGCTGGCATGAAACAGAAATAAACAGTTGTAACCACCACAGGGAGGAACTCTGCAATGTGTTGGCTGCAGCCATTCTCAGTTCTTTGCCAGCAAATCCACTATAGTACAAACTTAATATTTTTCTTTGTATTGCGGCTTTGCCATGCTTTTAAAAAAAATAGAAACTTTATGTCTTTGACTATCTGGTGCTTTTTATTTAGCACAATTAAAAAAACAAATTACCCAAAGGGGATGTTCAAATTCCCTCAAACAAGCTAGGCATAGTTATTAAATACTCAGTACTGTCTTCTCCACGGCCCCTAACCCAAGTGCCTGTATCCCATTTTTTCAAAGATCATAGTCCAACGCCAACATCCAGGGCTTGCAACCCCTTTACAGTAATGCCACTAAGGAGTGACCCAGCCTAATTTTGAATGTCCTAAAAATGACTGGAAATTAACTACCTTTTGTGGCAACTCATTGCATCTTAAGCTCTAATCTTGGGCCCAAATCTATGTCTCTATAGTTTTATATCCTGAGCCCTAGTGATACTATATGAAATTGATGAATTACAAATAATAATATCTTGAGTTTCTTCTTTCTGCCAGTTCCTTCCAGGTGTGCTTTCCAAATGTCATCTCACACAGTCCTCACAGTAAACCTGCAATGTCCCTCAAACATAGGCTCTACAAGGGCAAATATTTTAAAAATCTGATTTGTTCACTGTTGTGTACCCAGTCTCTAGAACAGTATCTGGCAATATTAGACACTCAGTAAGTATTTGCTGAGCTTAAAGATATTTACTGTTATTATCCCCATTTTACAGATGAGAAAACAGAGTCACAGAGGTCAAACACTGCTACAAGCTGCAGGGTACTTTAATAGAATCCAAAGGAATAAAGCCATTATGAGGAAGATACCATTTGTGTACAAGAGGTTCTGCCTCACATCACACTCCCAAGGCAGCTGCTTATCCCACCTGTTCTTGTGATAGACACAGGCAAACTGTGTGACTAGGCTGGAGAAAAGTGGTATCATGACTTCAGAATGCCACTTACAGTTGGGTGGTGGTTAGTTAAAGTAAAAGGATTATCAAGGGCCTTGTTTAGAGCAGTGTCTTGCATAAATAACAATATCATGGAGAATGGCATCTGATAATTTCATTTCTGTCTGAAAAATGAGGGTGTGAAAGTGGTAGAAAAGGGAGAAGCAAAACAAGCAAACACAAACACAAAACACAAAGCAAACTAAAGTAAAACAAACACCAAAAAAAAAAAAAAAAAAACCCCCACAAAAAACAACCCCCCCCACCCCCACACACTAAAATAAAACTTAAGAGCTGGAACAATGGAGAGAAGTTTTCATGAGGGTTTATCTTCTTTTTTCTCTGGAACAAACCACACTTCTTTTAACCTGAGGAGCTCTGATGCTACTTCTTGCAACATTGCTGTAAGACTAAATAATTATGCCTTATTTCAAGTGTCATTTTCTTTTTTGCAAACACCAAGTTCTTTGTGAATTTACATCTTCTGCCGAGTTTCACTAAATGAGAGAATATCACCCTTACCCTGACTCTTTTATTTTCCTTATGAATGGTCAAAAAAGCCCAAGTATCACAGTTTTTTAGTTGACCAGGAGAAATATTTTTGATGAATGAATATTTTCTTTGGTAAACAAACAACAAACACCAACTCAAAACCAACCAAATACGTTTCTTTGGTAAAGTGGACATTAATGTCTTGGTTGGAATTAATTGAAAGAAAAAACCAGCTTCTTCAAGTGATCAAGGGGTCATTTCTTCCCTCTTTATAGAAAATCGAAATGTAAAACTTGATGAAGTAAAGACTTAAATTTTATGGTGATGTGATTCTGAGTTACTTCTAAAGTGTCTTCTCCATAGTGGGGCTAAACCAATGCTATCAGAACAATAATCAACATTAACAAATAAATAATAATTATCTAACAATAAATAATAAATCTTGGCATGCATAGTCCCCCAATAGAAAAATTCATTTCACAGTCAGAATTCCATAAGCCTTGATTTCAAGTGCTGAAAAAGAGAAGTTGACAAGTTTGAAAATGCCCTTCATTTAAAAATACAATATCCCAGGGTATACAGAGACTCAATCAAGTTGGAAAACTACTATCTGTCATAAAACAAAGTTCCACAGTAAGTTATTCCAGTTGACCAAATTGAATGATTAAATTCTCAACAAAATCCATTTAATTGGTGTGTGTGTCATGTCAGTTTTGTGGAGTCGCTTTAAGCTGAGGCGCTCCACGTGGCTGACACTAAATCAATGACTGATTTAGAACACACTGTTCAGAAAATGATTTAGCAACATATGATTTAAGAATCAAACCAATCCCCTCTTCATTTGTGTTTTATAAATAATAGCCTAGTTGCAGGCCCCTTGGAGAGAGAATTGATTGAAGATCTATTATGCAAACTTGCCCTTTTGAGAGGACTGTACTTGTCCTCAGATTAAAGCTTATTATCTTCTAGTTGAGTGCATAACACATTGGTATGATCGCTTAGTGTGTCTGCAGGGGAGACTGAACAAGTGTGTAATGCACTAGCTACAATCCCCGGCACATGTATTTAGAACTATGTGAACAACAGTACATGAAATAGAAAGCACAGATTTGCACTTGGTGTGGTTACATCAGAATCATTTGGGTTTTTTTTTTTTTTTTTTTTTTTTTTTTTTTGTTTGGAAAGACATGGCAAACCTGAACCCCAAACATTTAAATCCCAAATATTAAAAAAGTCTTCTCTGTGGCCAATAAAGTCCTATGTTCCTTCCTTAGAAATGTATTTTGAGGGGAGTAATAGGTGTCTTATTAGAAAATCCCCAAATTGGCCTGCCCTGTCTTAGGCATGCTAAAATGATGGAAATCCTCTAGTGGTGTAACCTGCTTGAGTTGCTTTATTCTCCTAGGTCTCAGTTTCCCCCTCTGTGGAGGCTGGGGAAGTAGTACAGTATGTCTGCTAAGGTCCAGAAGGATAAGATGCTTTTTGGAAATGCTTACCACTAAAGATGTTTAAGTAAGCTATTTCTAAAAGGGAAAAGTATTGCAGATGTTTGTTTCAAATATAACCAGGTTTTAGCTTCATTTTTATAGATTTAAAGAAATGCAGGGGTCTGGGGCAACATACACAGCCCTTCCAGATCAAACCACTTCTGTTTAGATCCATGAACCATTCCCATGTAGATATTGAAGTCAACAGTATAAATATCCTAGGCTTGTTAATGTACAGAAGAACCTTACTATGATGAAATAGAGGGGCATCAAAAAAGGTGTGTGGTCGTTGGAGCCCAGCAGGTCAATGTTGGGGTGGCCGTGAGCATGCCACTGCACTTCAGCCTGGGTGACGGAGTGAGACGCCAACTCAAAAAAAAAAATGTGTGTGTGGGAGGCCAGGAAGGTGAGGTGTAGTCAGTTTAGCAGGAAAGTTTGACTGTCTTCATTCATAGATTTGTATTGGTCACTACTTTTTATATTCATTTCCATCTAATCTATTTCCCTTTTGGCCCTTTATCTTCCTGCACATCTACAAGGTTTCTCAGTGTCCAGACTTAAACTTACCAAAGATCTTTTTTCTTCTGTGTGTCTCTGAGTAGGCATATCTCATAGAAAAGGCAGACTGACACTACAGGTTGTAAGCTATAGCAAATACTCTTTCAGTGTTCATTTTTCCTTCCTCAGCTATGTGTGGGTGGATGTTTCTGGGCATCCATGCAAAAAAAATGCATGTAGGACCAAACCACAAACAGCTGTACCAGTTGGTTATTTTTGTTGTTGTTGTTGCTGTTAAAATGGAGACACTATCTCCGGGTTCAAGTTGACACCTGCTTTTCCTCCATTATGCCAAGTATTTGAGTTTGGCTCTGTGGTTTTGGGTCCCTGGATCCTCCTGCCAAGACTGCAATAAAGCAGACCCATTTGGTGACAAGTGACAAGATATTTCAAAATAGAATTACACCAAGTCTGCAGTGCTGGCACTGTCATTGGCTTTAAGGTGTATTAAACAAACCAAACTATACAATATGTCAAAAGTATATCAATGGGGGAATATGATACGTTCATTCTAGACAACAAAATTGCCTCACCTGGGTTAATTTAGGGGTGACTCAATTTCAGTCCATGGGTAATGGTCACTTTACTACATATGTTTCTGAGGCTCTGGCTTGCTTTTTGCTGGTCAGAACTTTCACAAGCATCTCCTTGGATGTTGGGGAGCTAGTGAGACAGCTAAGACCTCAAACCACAGATCATGACTGATGCTACTGCTCTGCAGAAGTTCTCGAAACCTTATTGTTTGAACAATGCTTAAAGCTATTTCTGCCTTCGCAGCTGACCTTTCAATCAGTAGGTTTTTTTCACAATACCAGCAACATCTGCAGTGTGGATAAAATAGAATCTTGCTTTTTAATAAGCTTTCTTCTATTTGATCTTAGTTTAAGAGACTATAGGTCTCCCAGGGTCTGTGTGTGCATGTGTGTGTGTAAATTCTTATAACAACTCTTTTGTTTTAAAGACTGAAAATATTCCATGCCCATTCCCCATCCCCACTTTGTCTTTTACTTTAAAAAAATGCCTGTTTCCTATCCTTAAAGAAAGGAACAACTTTGAATTTAATTGTTTCATTAACATAATCTCTTTGCTCCTGATAAGACCTAAGGTGAAAATATACCAAGCAGACACTATCACACTGTTGTAATTTGGTCAACCACTCGGGTACTATCAATATCCACCATTTCTACACACTCAATTTCCTCCCGGTTTTCAGGATTTTTCTTTTCTTTCCTTTTTTTCTTAGAGGGTGGCAGGAAAGTCAGTATCACAGGTAAAATGGCAAAGCAGTGAAAGAAGGTGACAAATGCTATTAAAAACAAGCACCTGAACAGTGTACAGGTCAGATTTGAAGGCACAGCTGCAAGAGGAATCAGACCAACAATATAGCAGAGGTAACTCTGTAAAATAGCTACCCCGTGCACTTCCAGGGCATTTTTTACCCATTTAGTTCTTGTAAAATCCTTGCCCAGAACAAATGTGGATAACAGTGGAGCACAATTGTCAATTGTGTAATTAATTCCATAAATTAAGCATAGCACAGAAATGCAATCCAGTTCTACTTTCCACAAAGTCATGAAACCTATCACTCCAAACTCCACGGACACAACCGTTAGAGTGATCCAGACATTAATCAGAGAATCTGCCACCAGGAATGCCGAGAAGAATAGCAGGAACAAAGCACTGATGCAGGAGTTGTGCAGGGGAGCTCCCAGAGAGGAGGCGTATCGATCCATGTACACAAAGGATGGATTGAAGACGATGAACTTCACCTTGGAGGTGACAGAAAGTCTCCTCAGGGTTTCCAAGAGATCATAGAGTTCTTCTCTGTTTGTTTCCATGGTCTTGGCCACCAAAAACATTCTGGAGGCCACTACATCGACCTCATCATTGTACTTTTTAGAGAAGATGATGTCCTCTTGAAAATGTGAAAATTGGGGGGCTTTCAGAAAGGAATTCCTCAACATGTCTGTGAAATTTTTCTTAGGCAAGCCAGTGGATACGTTGAGTTTCCGAAGGTAATTTAAATAGCTCTCAAACCAGGATATCCGCACAAACCCCTTGGTGTATTCTAGAACATCTTCTTGGACACTGGTGTTCCAGTACTCTATGGACTCATATATGTAAAACCCAATCACAGGACTGTAATTGCTAAAGTACTTTTGCTGGGCAGTAGTGTACTCAATGGTTTGCGTCGCAGTTGCTACAATGTTACTAAGGTCTGACCCTTCACTGACCTGCAGATAGCCCATTAAGGCAAAGGAAATATAAATAAGGTAAAAGAGAACTACAAAAGGCTTGACATAGGTGTTGGTTATCCAGTCACAGTAATAGCGTTTGAGGAAACATACCAATAGGTGACTCTCGTAAGTGTTCGCTTCCTCGCCTTCAGTTGTGTCCTCACTGAATCTGGCTGTTAGGAGAAACCTGTACCATGCTGGCTTCTCCTGCAGTGCCTCAGGCTTTGGGACTTTTCTGCAGAAGATACTATGCTGGTAATTGTTTTCTATGTAGCCAGTGAACACCAGGCTGGAACCATAAAACGAGAGTACATAGAGGTAGTTGAAGAAGATTGCAATACAGGAATTGCAGCAGAAAATCCTGGCTGCCTCAATGTTCGTGAAAGGGCTGGCCCCTATGCCAAAGGTGACCAGGTACATGGCAGTGGTGAGAGAAAAGGAGAGCATGGAGTCTGCATAGACTGCTGCAGTTCTCTCTTTAACATGTTGGTCTTCTCTAGTTTTCCTCCAGGAGGATAACATTTCAAAAGTCCCATATAATCCATGACCTAAGGGGGCAGAAAAAGACCAGAGCAAAAGTTTAAAGAATTAATCTCTTTTAAGAGGAGAACCAACTTGATCATGAGGGATTACTGGGTCAAGGGAAATATAACCAGCCCTAGGGGTGACAGGTTTGTAAATGTCAATGACTTCTCCTATGGGGAGATAAACCCATATTTTGGTGACTTGTAAATGTTAATGGTTAGTGAAAGGGCAGCTAGAGGAGCAAAGATCTTCATGTGCCCTCCGGCTTAAGAAAGCTACATGAACTTTTGCCTATAGAGTGCTAAGTGGACTTGTGCCTATGTCTCATGGGGATTATATATATCAATAGCTTAAGGTTGTTGGTACAGTTTGTGTTGGAACCCTCCAGAGAAAATGTATGGACACACATCATTTTGCTTTACATCTCGCTAGGAGTCAGTTTAGAGGAAGGTGTGGTGGGCAGAGGGTTCTGAATTAACGTCCTGTCACCTCATTTGAAATTGACCAAGTGGAGGGCTCTCGTGAGAAAGAGGTAGTGTGTTTAATTTGAGTCTTGACAGGAAACTAAATCACAGCCCCTCCTTTTTTCTTTCCCAAACATCAGAGCAGGAAGCAATAAATCTGAGAAAGAGGGAAGCAAAATTAAGCAGGAATGAGTTAGAGTGAAGAAGATGGAAGAAAATACAGAAGAAAAAAGATTCATAGGAACTCTCTTGGTTATTGATAAAAATTAGCATTTGGTGTGAAGGTTTATGACTTGCCATTTGTCTTCAGGGATCTATTTGAGTAATTTGGTTGTTCATAGATGACGTATCAAGCAGGCAATGGCTCTGTTGGCTTTCCGCACTATTTGGCATGCTTGTGTGGGAGAGAGCCAGGTCAGTAACCTATTTCCTTAACTGCTTAGTGCTGTTGCCTCCCTTGTTAGTATTCCAGCAATACTGGAATAATAGCAGAGGCACAGCAAGTGTTCATGTTCTGGCTCCATTTTACTGCCTGGGACCTGATCTAGCACGACTTCTACCACCTCTCCTGGTTGGAGCCAGACACTTCCCCACTGTGCCTTCCTCAGTTTCCAGGCCATTGCAACGTTGGAAAGCCCACCAAAGTGACCCATTATGACTTTTAATAACCCCTGTCTTGGCACTGGAATCAGCAGATCTAATTTTCTGCTTTCACACTTTGGCACATTCAATCCCATTATTGAGGATAATAAAATCTTTACCCTGTGGTACAATAGTCTTGTTTTTAAAAAGGAATTTAAAATTTCCAGTCAAGCATAATGCTGAACAAAGTGAGTCACTGTTATCTTGTGTGTACAATAATGAAGCACACGTCTTCCCTCATGCCTAGGCTGGCACTTATATTCTTATTGTGAAGTCCTGGCCTCAAACCCAAATGCCCATTTCACAGTAATGATATAGACCTGTTTCCTCCGAGGAACTTAGCATTTATCTTAATTTATTAGGCATCATTTTACAGCCACTTTTAGAGCTCAGGTCAAGATTGTCAATTTGATAACTAGCACTGTGGCCTCTATTAAATTGGAGGTACCTAAACTCCCCAGACATGAAGTAAAGAATGCACTAATTGACTGGCATCTTGTTGTTAACTATATTTAGGTAGTTAACTTAGTCTCGGTAGGAAAAACTGTTGTCTATTTCTACTATGTTCTCAGGATGGACCAACAAACCTTTGGTTAAAAGTAACCAATCCGCTTATGAGTGAGAACATGAACCCTGAACATTTACCATAATACTATAAGAAAGGAATTGGCAGTAGCTGGAAACTGCCAGGGGAGGGGGGGCACATAACATTAGCAAGGGTACCTGATTTCAAACCAGCCAAAGTGGGGACCACTTGTATACCTAATCCTGAATTGTACTGCACATCTTTAAAATAAAATAAATTAAAAAATGTAACTGATCCCTTGATGATGAAGGTAAAAAGAAAATTAATGCCTCTGGGGCACCCTGGAGAAACAATATTGACCATTTTATCTAGGGCCATGTTGAGCAGGTAAACTTTGGTGGGGAAAACACACTTCAAGGGGTCACTGTAAATGGCAAGTGACCTTTTAATGGCATTTAATTTCCAGAAACAAAAAAAATATTTTAAAACTTTTTCAGGGCTTTAGTACTGAGTCATTAAATGTGGTAAGAAAATGAGAATGTCTATAGAATCAGAATTAATTGTATAGTACAATTTAAATTAAATGTTTTGCAATTCTTTAAAAATCAGTGTGATAAGGGTAACTGCACAATGAATATTTATATACCTAATCCTTAACTGTACCCCACAATTTTAAAATAAAAAATATATGTAAGAAAAAAAAATCAGTGTGATGTTTTGTAATGACATCATCTGATCCTGACTCTTGTTGGAAAATACAGTAAGAATCCATTTCTTACTTTGCTGTTAAATTATCTTAGAAGCTAATCTAAAGAAGAAATTTGAATTAACAGGGCTATTAGGTGACAAGAGTGAGGCTCCAGAGTCCAGAATGAAAATAATCAAACTCAAGGAAAAGCAAAAGTAAGCTATTGGCTTGTCTTGAGTTCTGTCGCTGCATTTTAAATGCCTTGTCCTTCTATAGGTTGAGCTTTTTGTATTGGGTTCTGACTGTTTTTGTATATGTTTTTGGTTTTGGGGGCAGCTCCAAAGAGAATTCTCATTTTATTCTTATGGGCTTTTTGGAAACAATGCCTTTCCTTTATTCCTCTTGCTACAGGTGTGCGCAAGCAGACACTCACAGAGGCTAGAGGAAGCCCTGAGAAAGAATATGATCACTCAGCATTTGTTGTTAGTCATCACTTCCCTTGCCTCTAAAGCCCTCACCATTCCCAATAGGCTAGATTCTTATTTCTCAAGCCACACCTCTCTAGCAGATACCTATACCCTAAACTCCACAATGGAGTTGTATGGTGTCTTATAAGAGCTCCTTGGATTTCTGGGACAGTTGCTGATGCCATAACTGGGCCTCTTTCCTGAAGCTCAGTCAGTCAAGGGAGGGACGATTGCCAACACAGCCACAGGGGCCTCTCAGGGATTAACAGCCTGGAGTGCCTGGCTGGCACTAGACCCAGCTCACAGCTGGGTATTTATGCTGAAGAGGTTGGCCTGTTACCCTAAAGGAAAGCCTAATTGTGAGGACCCTGTTTCCTGGCTTGGACTCAAGGGGAGACACACTCCAAGAGCCCTAGGACATGAGGAATGCCCTGCTCCCCAGAATACTTGCTCTAGAATGACAGCTGAATTCTCTTTGGTTTTGGTTTTCAAGGGTGTCTTTTGTATGCAAACTCATCAGGGACAGTGGTCTACTGAAGCAACTTCCCTTAGGTCTAGGGAATGGGAAAGAGAATAGAAATGGGGAGGGAATGAAGAGGACATGGCAGGTAAGAGAATTTCACAGAGACTAACTTCTCAGTTTTTCCTCCAGACAGTCATGGCCTAATCATTAACTACCACTCCAGAAACCGGGCCAAATGGAGTTAAGGAAAGGCAGAGATAAATAGATTTTGGTAGGTTCTGTTCCTCTCCACTTTCTTCTCTCTTCTGGTGGCTCCCTTCTTTAGCATCAGCATCATTCATCGCTCTTTTGTCTTTGGAGCTGGAGTCCAGCAAGCAGGACTCTGAAGCCAAATCTTACAGATGTGGGCAAACAGATACTACATGTGGACTGAAGATACTTTTCAAGATATGTCAGGAATCAACATCCTGACATGCTCACATTCCAAGGAATGTTGCATCATCCCAGGGCACTCCTTCTCTTGCAGTCTATGTGAGGCTGAAGAACTGCCAGAGACCTCTTAAACAACACATACTGATTCCTCAAATTTTGCAGATAAAGAGGCTTTGAAAACATTTGCTTGCCTTTTAAAAGCACATTTAAGATGTTTGTTTCTATTTTTGTTACATGCATAAGATCACATGCATATCAGTATGTGTCAAGATACACACACACACACACACACACACACACACACACACACACACACACACACACACACACACATACACACGTCCAAGTTCTAACTATTCATGAGTGAATGCATTGAGGCAAAGAGGGTTTTCAGTCAGGTCCTGGGTTAAAGGACAATAGAGCTCTTTGCCAACATTTAGGCATGATTTGTACTAAGAGAGTGGTTTCTTTCTTTCTTTTTTTTTTTTTTTGAGTTGGAGTCTCATTCTGTTGCCCAGGCTGGAGGCAGTGGCATACACATGACCACTGCAGCTTGGACCTGCTGGGCTCAGCTGATCTTTCCGCCTCAGCCTTCCAAGTAACTGGGACTACAGGCGTGCCCCAACATGCCTGGCTAACTTTTATTTATTGTAGAGATGAGATCTCACCAAGTTTCCCAGGCTGGACTCAAACCCCTGAGCTCAGGCAGTCCTCTTGCCTTGGCCTCCCAAAGTGCTGGGATTACAGGCTTGAGCCACTGTGCCTGGCCGAGAGTGATTTTTAAAAGGAAACTGCTTTTATTAATTTTATTAGCAGTAGACTTTGGAATTGTCATCTAGTAAAATAAAATGCTGAAGAATTTAGGCTAATAATTTTCCTCTTTTCCAAATAATTTTTATATCAGGTTTTGGAGTCAATGAAGAGAAAAAGCAGCCCAGATGATAACACTAATGGTAGAAAAAAACTCAACAGGCTAATCCTCCAGTCACTCAAGGTGACTGTCAGGCACACTCACAGATTAAATCTCACTCTCACCTGGATCCTTTTCTGTGGCCTGACCAACGCCTTCAGGGTTGTTTATAATCCAGTAAGGCAAGAATCTACTAACAAATAGTTGAGAGTTAACCTAACTTTACCCAGTAGATATGCTTCTGGAAAGTTGTTCATAAAGTGGATCATATTTTAAACTTTTAAAATGGTTTTGTTATCAGAGACAGTCTGAATGATCTGGATTCTTTTTTGCTGTTATTTGTTGATGAATAATCATAGGCAAATTGATCTAGTTTGTACTTCTGGATTTTATAAGTCCGATTTTTCTTTAGGCTCAGATTCTCCTGCCTT